AGTGGAGAGAGAGGGGTGCAGGGGTGCAGAAACCCAGGAAGAGGCCAATTTGGCTGGGGCATTGTTTGCTCAGCAGGCTGGAGCTCAGTCATGGGACTTTCTAGCTTCCTGGGGCCCTTCAAATATTGAAGCACGACAACAAAAGGAAACTGGGTCGCTGGATCCCACGTGAAGGCAGAACTGGGGCAAGCACAGAGCATGTTCAAGCCCTCAGGAGCCGAGACTCACCCTTGCCAAAGCCAGCCAGGCCTCTCTTCTTGCTTTTCCATCCAAGTCTTAGCCTGGAGCTGGTTTGCTCTTTTCTAGACCCACCTGACAGGTCAAAATCTTTGCCCTACACTTCATTAAGCTCAAAGGCAGACATGTCAGCAGCTGACAAAGAGAAGTTGTCTGGTACCAAAACGAGCCCCTGAATATTCTATCTCCCAGCTCCTTCTCTCACGTTCTCTGGCAGTTTAGTGTGCTTATGTACTCATATAACAAGCCACCAGTGTCTAGGGAGTCATTTTCAAGAAGTGGGGCTTAGAGGCCTCTCACAAGGGCTAAAAGACACACGACTTAGTCCTCTGGGTAGCTACCAAAGGTCCTAGCACACAGTCATAACTACACTGCCCCCAATTATCTAGAGGTTGCAGCAGCTGTCCACATTATTATGTAATCCCACCTGCCCTGCGCATCCATCAGTGGAATGATGCAGGGACTTCTCAGCTGCAACCTCATCTGGAACATATCTGACTATTTTAGGAGCACAGGAAGTTATATTAGTTTCCATGCTGAGGCTCATGCAGTTTAAAAGGTGGCCGCCTAAGTAGGCTGCCCCAACTGCCTTAGCTTACCAACTGGTAATTCTAAGTCTGGGTGAAAGGCTTCTACTATCTGATCATGGCCAACTTGACCAGGTTGAAGGGCTTCTGGAAGGGTGGATTGATGGTAGACACTTCTGCACCACATCGATTGCCTCAGATACCATTGAGGGATCCCTTTTGTCCTCATCCAGTCAAATGCAGGAGGTGAGGGTGAGATAAATGATTCCACATGAGTCTAATACACTTCCAGGCAAGATGGAGAAGGAGAGCAGGTTTCTGCTTGAGTCCAGCCCCTCGAGTGGAATGATACTCACAGCTTAGGCCCAAAGAGGCAACTGAATTGCAGTTGCTCTAATGCCCACAGCCTCTGCTTAGATTTCTGAAGAATCAACAACAGTGGTGTTTTTCTGTTGTTGTTTGTTTTTAGTTCCACTGATTTCCACAAATCTCACTTTCCATGGGCCAGATATGACTTTAGTTCTTAATCTAAAATGTTAGTTTTGGAACTGGCACAATTCAAACTTGGGGCACCACGACTGCCAAAGAGAAAGCTAAGTAGATAAGTCCTTTGTCTTGAGGTTTTTCACTTCTCCAGAGCTACATTTTGGCATAACCTTTCTGGTCCTCAGTGATGAGGTTACAGCCAACCAGGGCAGACAGAATAAAAGAAAAAGCACCTGGCCCTTAGATCACACTTCTCTTTTATCCCTGAGTCAGGCTGTCACCTGGGAGGGAAAGGAAAGAGGTGATCGTGGAGCCTACTCTTTTGTTATGAAAGAACCGCCTTCTGGAGAGGTCCCTAAGAAGAAAAAGAGCAAAACTGGAGAGGTGGAAACAGGCAAAGGAAGGTCATTTAAAAAATTAAAATAAATACAGCTTATTTCTTGGATTGTCAAATTTATTCCACATTAAAGGGGATGGGAAAATGTATATTTGTGTAGTTTTAAAAATAATGGTATACATATATACATATATTATACATATATATACACACAGATATATGTATATATGGAAAACCTCCAATAACTCAGGACCAATTAACCAAAACCTTAATGGACAAAAATTACTCATTCTTACTGTACTTTCAGCAGAAAGAGGCACATGACAGCAAGAGCATTATCTGATAAATCAGGATGTGCCCAACTGAACACTTCCAGGTCCTTCTTGAAACCAGCATCATTCAGCCCATCTCTTTGGTCTGCTTCATCTTCATTTCTGTACGTTGAGCACTGAGGTTTAGAAGGTTGACCCTGAGCAAAGCAAGGTCTTCTGTCATCTTCAAACACTCTACTTACTAAGGCAGGAGAGTTTATACTAACCTACTTAGGAAATATTACTTTTCAATAATGAACAAAGGCTGAACCACACATTTCCCCATTCTCACGCAAATAACCAGAATTGCAAAGCAGCAGCCAGGACATTCCCTTCCCTGAGGTTTCCCTGTGGGTTAAATGAGGTTTGGTTGTAGATATGTGTGTAGAGCAAGGTAGACTAAAAAGGAATGGAATGGGACCCTGGGCTCGCCAGCCTTCCCTGATTGTCCAGCCTTAATGTTTAACATCGCAGATTTTTCAGGAAAGGGGGCTCTTCAGAAGCCTCTGGTGATATGTGCAAATATTTGTGCAGCTGCACGTTGCAGTGGGTGGTGGGGACTTTATCGTACAAGTGTCATGCCTTAACTGCCCCAAACTTCTGTGCTTGTATACCTCCACCCAAACCCACAAGGACCTGCCTCCCTCTACAGTTCTCAAGTCTTATGGTTGAATAAGTCAGTTTTTTGTGAAGGAGAGTCAGAGGGTAATTCCCGAATCAGCCAAGGCTACTACAGATTCCAGGTGCAAACTTCCAGACACATTCCTTCAGTATCCATCTCTCTGGGGAGGGAAAGAAGGGCCGCAAAAGGATCACATAATGGCTTTTAGTGCATGGAAATGATCTTCTGTAATGGCTCAGGATGCTTTAGTCTTATCTATTGGCAAGTGCTTTCCTGTAGGCTTCCACTACACCCTGCCAGACTGACACAAATTTGACCAGATGGGCTGGCATGAGGTCACTCAAACTCAAGGTTTCAGTACCTAGAGGTTTCAAGGGTGATGTGTGAGAGTGGGCAGAAAGGGGAGGGAGAGAGGAATAGAGACACACAGAGACAAAGGTACACACAGGAAAGCTACATAGCAACAAAAAACACCTACTTGTGGGCCTTCCTAGTGTGTGCACTGCCGTCTCAGATGTGTCCACTCCTGAAGGAGGTCAGACCTAGGGGACAGGAGTCGTGTGTACTTGTGGGAGGAAGGAACTAGAGAGACTGCGAATGAACACCCAGAAGTCAAGGATATTATTTGATAATCTAAGTCTACCTATCACTTTTCAGTCCTGAGAGCAAGATTTTGGGAGAGCTATTGCTAAAGAAAACAGTCACTATTGATTTTATTGCACTTTTCTTCTTTAAAAATAATCAAACACAAACTATGAAAGATGGAGCTGAGCTTTGGTGGGAAGGAAAGCAGAAAGAGGAAAAGGTGAAGTAGATTTAGGAACAGACTCATCCAAGTTTATAAGGGATCCCCTGCTTCCTGTCTCTGCTTGCTGTGCCTTAGGGGAACAGGGCTGGACTCGACAAGGCCAAGTCTGAGGATACAGTAATAGCCACGATAGCTACTGAGACAGCTCCCAGCATCCAGTCTCTGCTGGTTGACTCAGGTGGCTAATGATGTTAATGAGGTCAAGGGCACAAGTTCAAACCTGGCAATGAACACTTCATTAAGGCAGGCAGAGCCTCCATTCTGCAACCAAGGAGCATCCTAGATATCACAACTCTATCAGACAAGTCAGCCACCACTCACATGCAGGTTGGCATGACAGTGGGCCTCAGAGGAGTCCTGGGGAGCAAGGCTCACCACCATCAGGCTCTGTCCTGAGTAGAGAAAGTCCAAGCACTGTGCTTTCTTTACTGCTATGGGAAGTGGTTTGCACACTGTCCTACAGTTTCCTCAGTGGGAGGTCAGGCTCCACCTCTTTTCCACTACTTCAGGCAACAATGAACTCCAAGCCCAAGACTTTTCAGAGGATGATGACTTCCTTCACCATGAGTTAACACTGATACTTTATGGCCAACCATGAGCAAGTTGGCCAAAATCAGAGAGAGAGAGAGAGAGAGAGAGGGAGAGAGAGAGGGAGAGAGAGAGAGAGAGAGAGAGAGAGAGAGAGAGAGAGAC